CATATTGAGACAGTGATGTGTGAAACATACTGAGACAGTGATGTGTGAAACATACTGAGAGAGATGTGTGAAACATACTGTGAGATTGATGTGTGAAACATACTGAGACGGTGATGTGTGAAACATACTGAGACAGTGATGTGTGAAACATACTGAGACGGTGATGTGTGAAACATACTGAGAGAGATGTGTGAAACATACTGAGACAGTGATGTGTGAAACATACTGAGACGGTGATGTGTGAAACATACTGAGACAGTTATGTGAAACATACTAGACAGTTATGTGTGAAACATACCGAGACAGTGATGTGTGAAACATACTGAGGCAGTGATGTGTGAAACATACTGCGAGATTGATGTGTGAAACATACTGAGACAGTTATGTGAAACATACTGAGGCAGTTATGCGTGAAACATACTGAGACAGTGATGTGTGAAACATACTGAGACAGTGATGTGTGAAACATACTGAGACAGTGATGTGTGAAACACACTGAGTCAGTGATGTGTGAAACATACTGAGTCAGTGATGTGTGAAACATACTGAGAGAGAGGTGTGTGGAACATACTGAAACAGTGGTGCGTGAAACATACTGAGACAGCAGTGTGAAAAATACTGAGACAGCTATGTGAAACATACTGAGACAGCTGTGTGAAACATACTGAGACAGTGATGTGTGAAACACACTGAGACAATGACATGTGAAACATACCGAGACAGTGGTGTGGCAAACATACTGAGACAGTGATGTGTGTGAAAACTCAATGGGACAATAATACATTTGGTATATTATATATTCTATATGTTGTGAAAAAAAACAGGTTTGAACCGAGTCAGAAAGTTACGTTTCCATCGTGGTAGGAAAAATAATCATCTCATTTTGCTTATTTTCCATGTAATAATCAACATTTTCATCTTCTCATGGTTTCATTTTTTGCACATCTTCCATGCTCCCCCGGATTTAAAATGGTCAACCCCTTAAGATAGGAAGTAGGTCAACATCCAATTCTACCGGAACTTACCCGCACAAAACATGAGCATATCGTTTTCACCAGTCATTCGATAGATCTTTCCCCAGGCAGGGACAAGGAAACTTGTTTGCGTCAAATTCACAGCGTCCAAGGCGTCCATGTTCAGCGATTTCGTGGTGTAGAGATTCTGTCATAGGTGACTAGTCTTTAAACAGTGATATCACTTTGTACCTATATCTAGTACAGACAATATTTGTTTTTGCTCATCTGATCACTTGCCTCGCCCCGAGGTCAGCTACAACAAGGGTGTTGACCGGGGGCTGATCAGGCCATATCAAAACACGCACTTCATTGTCGTTAAGGAAAACGTTTCTGTATGATACTCATGTTGTTGGATTCATCATTATTGGGCTTGCGGTCGCATAGTTGTATGAAGCTGTGCATCTTATAAATTTAAGTGTGATGAAATCCGTTCGTAAATTTTGAAAATATGTAACGATTACGATTTTTAAATCGATCTTCTTCTCATAACCAAAAAGCCATTTTACTTGCAGTTTGTCGGGCGAGGAAATTAATTGATGCCAGACTTAATTAGGTGAAAGGTCACGTATTGAAATCAAAGCATCTCGTGAACTGTTAACTGGCCGATATTTTTTGAGCATGAAACTACAAGAATGGTTGTCATATTCTGGCATGTATTTCACCAAAATATGGAAATTGAAGGTTTTAAAGGGCCGTGGTCGTCACGCAGCGTGCGTACAATTTTCACAATAAAGAATGTATTTTAAACGCGTTGTACATGTCCCGTATCGAACTGGAAACGGCATGGCGATCACCAACATTTAAGCCATTGTACTATATTACAATGTAAGTGTACGTACATAAACAAAGTCAGAAATACCACATGTGCAAGCACAGGGAAACTATGTGCTCGCTTCTTGAGAACTGTCTCAGCTATGTGGTTCATATTCGTTACATTTTTTTATGCGGGGTGGGTGGGGGGCAAGAACATTCATGTAAAAGGTCATCATGAACAATCGCTAGTGACACGCAATGTCAAATTCAGAAACCAAATCCTAAATGCTAAATATCCAGACGATATGGCAGACATCTGGAAATATCTTTTTCATAGAATGCCCTCAATGAGGTTGCTGACCACGGCCAGACAACGCACATCCACCAGGATGTGCATGTAATGTCTTGAACAGCCCGTTTAACAACAACAACAACAAAAAGGAAAACATTGCGTCCTTCAACACTGATAAATAATGAATATTCATTTACTGACTTTTGTGTTGACTCATCAGAATCATCAATTCAGTTGCTGTCTCCGAGTCTAAAGTACGCGTACACAAGGAAAATTAATCCAGTGAACCTATAGATACACTCTATTTACAGTTATCTTACTGGATAGTACATTGTGAGGTAGAAAGCCGACTGCCAGGGGATACAATTGCGGATATAGATTGGGTCAATGCCAAACTTGATGATTCATCAATATTACCCAGTTGAGTCGAAGTATATATACAAGACAGGATTTGATACGTCGAAAAACCTGGCAACAAATAAGCTGCAGTCTGATTGGTCTGAGTGTTAGGCATTAACATTAGGTAGCCAATCAGGCACAATCTTGTTAGCAGCTTCGTATTGACTCATATTACCCCAAACTTTGGGTTGGGGAAGATTCAAATGCCATGAATACTACGATAATTTCACTATCGTACGTGATATCTTGACACGTCAGATACATATAACACAATTACACAGAGCACAACGCGAGTTTCTAACCCTATGTTATTATTACTTTACTGTCATTGCATAATTTAAAACTTATTTATTTTAATAATTGAATGTGATCTACTAGTCTATTATTGAAAAGGGCTACATTGTCCATGACTACTCACGCGTGCCTCACTTGCAATGTGTGGATGTTCATTTCTGTTCAATGCTTACTGCGTAATCTGTATTCTTTGCTATCTGAGCATTTTTAGCTATCAACATTATTGGTTGAACTTTTAATAAAAGGTGTGGTAATGCATAATAGCAACATCTTCTGT